AACTGACCATATGGAAAACCTGTTTTAGCAACACAACACATTTTATACAAACTTAGAGTTTAGGCTGTTCAATCCCATTTTAAAGGCTTCTTTCACCTAAACAATCAACGTCAAGAAAACGGTAAATCTCCTATCTAGCAATGCAAATAGTTGTTTTCATTAGCCTAAGTTTTAGAGATATGTAAAATATTTGCCACGTTTTTTTTTTTTTACATTGAAGACTGTTAGTAATTCTTGAACCCTGAGAGCAGGACAGACTGAAAAGAGTCAAGGGAAGCTTATAAAAGTTAACAGCATTTAATTACACAAATAATGCGGTGATGTACAATGAAATTGCAAGCGTTCGGTCAGCCGAGGTCAGGAAAAAGAGGCCGATCCTTCCTGTGGCTCACGGGTAGTCCACTGTAGTCTTCTCTTATTGGCCGGCGTCGACGGGGGCGGGTCCGATGCAATTCCTGTCTTTTTCTGTTGCTAAATTACATAATTCTGTTGTCTGTGGTTATTTAAACATTCCCTAATAAACGTTATTTCAGCGTCAATAAATGAGTGTTAATCCCAGTGTGTTTAGGGTACAACATCACATGTCATTTTACCTTAAATTCACGGTTTCAAAACGTTAGCCACATGCTAATGCTAACCGGAAATGAAGAATGTTCAGAATAAAAGTGTTAAGTTAATAGTTAGTGTAAACTTCCGGTTTTTTTCAGAATAAAACTGCTTTAAATTAAAACAACAAATTGCTGTTTGGATTTTTACAAGTCCCATTTTTCATTGTCACCAAAATTGAAACTCCCTTCACTTCCGTTGAATTGGGTCAGAGCAGAAATAAACCAAAACTACCTGCATGTCTAGGTATCACTAGAAGAATACACAAAAATGTATTTATTCATGGAACCTTTTCAAGTCATATTTCTAGGTTGCTTCACATAAAAACTCATGATTTTAAAAGACTGACAGAAATAAAATGGCTGATTGGTGCCACCAGAACAAACCGTCCTCCATTTAACAAGGTTACGCTGCAATCGTGAACACATTCTCGTAACATAACAGCATTATCTCGTGAACCCTCGCTGAAACAGTCTCCTGAGCTGAATTGAGACACCCAGATGTTAGAGAGTATCCGGCACAATATAGGCCTACCTGACCACAGACCCTGTCACAGAGGAACAACTCAACCCCCCCCCCCCCCCCCCCCCCCCCCCCCACCAACCCCCCAACCCCCCATCAACCTCTCAACCCAATCCAATCTATAGCTGGCAAAATAAAACAAATAAACACTAATTTGGATTATTTACGTCCAGTTCACACCACATGACGCAACATGAGCGTGGGGGGGGGGGGGGAGAGCTATATGTTGGGTGGATAATTGTACCAGTGGTAGTAATAAGTGCAGCGGCTACAGTGATAACAATTAGATTTGATTTCATTTGAGAATGCCTCCACAGCTGCTCCCCACTCACCCCCTTAACCCCCTTCTTCCCCCTTTCCCCTCCCTCCCTCCCCCCTCGCTCCTCTCCCCCTAGATTAAAGTGGGTGTGTTAATTCCGTGGTGTAGCGATCGAACAGCTCTGGCAACAATGGGAAATGGGCTATTGATCAGAACAGCTCAGATTAAGACTAGGCAGTGGAGCTCTTTCTTGCTCTCTTTCGCTTCCTTTTCTCTCCATTTCCCATCTTCTTCTGCCTGTCTGCCTGTCTGTCCTGCTTGTGTCATCTCCCCCCCCCCCCAATGCTCCCTTTCACACCCACAAAGAAGAAGAAAGACTGTTTGCATGTAAGAGTCTATGAGGATGTCCTTGTCCCTCCTCTGTTTCCCCTCCTTTGCTCTTCCTGCTTCCCCCTCCTAAAGCATGTGGCTATGCTCTTAAAACCTTGTATTTTAGCTTTATTTTAGCTGAAAGATGCATAGAGCAGACACATTTATGCAGTAGCCTCAAGCGGAAACACAATGCACAGACTGTGAGCCTTTTACCAGTTCACTCTGCTGCAATTTGACATCCGTTCACATGAGATGTTATATCAATCAGTCACAGCGAGGCCCCTGTGTTGTGCCACAATTAAAATCCGCCCCATCAGAGCGGCTCACATACCAAAATTAGCTGTCATGATCGGGCTGCGGGACAGAACACATTGGATTTGCATTGAATAGACATAAAACATACCAAATGTGAGGAGACAGCAAATCCATACAGTGAAAAGTGAGCTAAGAATCCCCTGCTCTACTTATATTAATTAACTCAGTCAATGGGGATGTGATAGGTCAGTTATTCATCCTCTTCCAGCGCCTCCCCACTCTGTCACATATACCTCCCAGGTGTCAGAGGCTCCAGCTGCTGAGCATGGATCAGTGGGGAAGAAAAAACTCCCCGCCGAGGACATCACAACACGCTGGTCTGAGATCAGTGGTTAGGGGTTACTGGCACGTTTCAGTGTGTCTGCCGCTGCTTTTGTCCTCTTGCATTTTAGAGGTGACAAATGCAACAGACACTGCATACATGTGGAGATACTGTCATGCACCGGCAGCTCACACACACACACACACACACACACACACACACACACACACACACACACACACACACACACACACACACACACACACACACACACACACACACACACACACACACACACACACACACACACACACACACACACACACACACACACACACACCAGTGGTCACATCAATATTGCCATGACCCTCAGGGGACTTGCAGTATTGGCAAAGCTTTCATCTGCTGAGTGTGTGAGCGTCTGATACTCCCTGCTCACACCACACACTCAAGCTCCACATACAGTAAGAACTAAACAATGCGCACAAATAAATACAACACCCAGTGCAGATTTGTGCAAGTCTGAATCAAAAATCTGGTAAGGGAGTCAGGAGAAAGTGTTAGCTGCAGGGGTTAACTAGCAGTGAAGGCTGAGATCAGCTGTCAACACTAGAGGGCGATAAAGAGGTACATGTGTGTGTGTGTGTGTGGTGGGGTGTGTGTTTGGCTGTGACCATGGCCATGTCGTACCAAAATCGTTCTATATTTTCAACGATTCCAACATTTTTATACACCAATTTTGTTAAATAACTGATAAACACATGGGGTGAGGAAGCGACTGAAGAATAAATTAGCCTTTTTTTAATAAATTATATTTAGGTTGCAACTGAGGATACTTTCTTTCTTTGATCAACCTGCTGATTATTTTCTACATCAAACATTTGGCACATAAAATGTTGGCAAGTAGTGAAAACTGCCCAAGGTATCTGCTCTAGATGCTAGTTTTGTCCAACAAACGGCCCTAAACTCAAACAAAATCCGTTTACAATGAAATAAAAATGGATTTCCCCATTTGAGATGCTGGAACCATCAATGTTTGAAATTAAAAAGGTTAAATAAATCCATATTTAAAGTAGTTGCTGATTGACTTTCTGATTCATCAATTAGGTGACTAATCTCTAAATTCCAGTCAACCCATTACCTCCAGTAAAAATACTTTTACTACAACAATACCAAAGAAACTCCCAAAGCTGCTTTTTACCTCCAACACTGCAGATATGACCCTTACCCTCTTTAGCAGTGGGTGCAAGTCCTGTTGTCGGGACAAGAACTTGACCTTATTCCACTGTCAGTCGTTATAAATCAGAGGAACTTCAACTAGACGCCAAGCGACAACACAGCATCCCGTTTTCCTTTCTTCTTCAGTCCTTTCTCCCCATCCTCACCTCCCCTCTCCTCTTTTGATTCCCTTGTCATAGACCCCGGCTCTCTGCACTTGAGTGAGCTCCATAGGTTTAGCTAATTGATTATTAAGTTGCTGATTGGGGATCAATTAAATAATTAAAGTTGGTTAAGGGCAGAGTCGATTTACTGGCACGCGGGAGCCGGGGCATGCTCTCCTCTAGTGTGTGTGTGATAATGTGTGTGTGTGTTGCATAGGTGTGTGTGAGCTCATTTATATAGTCGGTTGATAGAAGTGATGCTATTGAGTGGAGATAATGTGTTTCATTGTAATGTGGATTTTGCTGCAGGGATTGAAGGGAAAATGTTGACAACAATACAGAATTTCTTCGTCTTCTAAAGTCAGACTGACAGGTGGAGCTCGACCTTTTCTGAGTGGCATTTAAGTTTCCTTTATAGTCATTGAAGAAATAGACAATATTGTGGAGGCCATGGGTTTACTCCACATATAAAGAGGAATATTCATATAGGTGATTCCTTTTCTTTTGACTTGAATCCAAGTCAGGCACAGTGTGGCTCTGGCACCAGCAACTCCTTCCACTTTATTTCCTTCTTTGGGGAATTGCATCCTGATACAAGTTGAGCAACTTTGTAGGGTCATCTTGGTGGCGACTCCTTGGTGTCCAGGAGGTGAAACAGAGGTGGGAGATGGAGAGGTTCCCTTTGTGGTAACACACACTCTCACACACACACACACACACACACACACACACACACACACACACACACACACACACACACACACACACACCACACACACACACACACACACACACACACACACACACACACACACACAGTATACTGCACACACACACTCTCTCTCTCACACACAGCACAAACCTCATATATGAGACACAGGAGCGGAAACGGGTCGAATCCTACTTCAAATTCTCTTTCCTCTCGGCTTGTCGACCGGGGAAAACAAACCGACCCGAGGCACAGCGAATGGGGATTTACTAATTAACTACTTACACACACACAGGGAAGAGAGAGAGAGAGAGAGAGAGAGAGAGAGAGAGAGAGAGAGAGAGAGAGAGAGAGAGAGAGAGAGAGAAGAGAGAGAGAGAGAGGAGAGAGAGAGAAGGATAGAGAGAGATAGGAGAGGAAGAAGAAAAGGAAGAGAGAGAAAGGAAGAGAGAGAGAGAGAGATGCACACCTCCTCCCCCCTCCCTCCCCCTCCCATGCTCTCCTCCCCGGGTTCAGGTTGGTATAGTGCTGCTTCTCCGGTCGCTGGCTCGCTGTGTGTGGATAGACTGGTCGCACTTCACCGGTGAGAGCTTTATCATCACTGCCTGAGAATAAAAAACCGGAGGTATGTTATCCGCTTTGTATACTTATTGCATATCATATTTATATTTGTTTTATTTGGCTTTATTTATTTTTGGTCGAGAAAAAAAGTTGTGGTTGTTGCGTTGTGCGTGTGTGTGTGTGTTTAAGATATGTCATGCTAGATTTGTGCTGGAGATAATACTGTTTCCTATTTGTAATGCTTTTGCTATTCAATTGTTTTACCTGCGGAATTGTCAGTTTGATGATTACAGTGTAACCTTGCAAAGAAAAGTTGAGCCGTGCGTATTTTACGCAGCCTCTTTTTGGATTTTACATTTCATCTCCCGTCTTCTTTTTGCAAACTTTACGCAAGTTTTACTCGTTTGCAACATACACACACACACAGGTAGTAGACAGGGGAATACATATGCAGGTTCTGTCGTGTATGTGCAAGGTGTAAAAGGCTCTACACGGGAGCACTTTGATGCGTTCAGCTGTCGGCGTTGGCCCGGATTAGCCTCTAGTGTCTCTATTTGTTAAAGCGTCCAGCCCTCACCTCCACAGCGCCGGATCCATCAGTCAATTAAACAGCCTCCCTCTCTCCCTCACACACTCTCTCTCTCTCTCCCTCTGCTTGATCTGCGTGTGTGTGTGTGACCCCGTTTAATGTCCCTTTATGTATATGTTAGAAAGTGTGTGTGTATGTATGTGTGATGTTTGCTCCTTTGTATTTATTTTGTGTGCATAATCCTGCTTCTGATATATCCTCAGATTTGTGATCCAATTTCACCTATGCTTTTATTTTGGAATGCCTTTTTTTTGGTAAATATTCATTAATAAGCCTTAAATGTGAAGTTCAAGTCCACTGTGCTGCCTTAAAGATCCTGAGTTTGCAAAGTAATCTAAGCTTTAAGTGCATTTTACAAGTACATATCCTGACTTCAACAACATTTATTATTGCCAACAAATTATAATCGAGCTCTTAAAGATAGTTATTTGACCATCTGTCAATGAGTTCACCAAAGGAACACGCCGATGCTGGCTGTACCAGGGGTGAAGCCGATGATTTGTATGTGTGCACTACTCGCATGGGAGTTTGTTTCTGAAGTGTGCGCATCGATACAGTGCGGAGCGAAACTTGAAAAAAAAACATTTGGAATAATCTTAATGTTGGATTCTGCACTCTCCTCCAGACTTTTATTTTGTATTTGTAGGTGTTTACCCCCCTTACAACTTTGATGCATATTTATGTGCGCCGTGGGTGTACTCCATCAATTATTTGTGCCAGTATATTTCCAGATAAACAGTGTTTGTAAATCAATACATGCATGTAACTATTGCAGATTAAGATATCGATCAATGGATCCTCCCTAACCCCAACCAATGTTGTTTTCCTGCCGTCAATTATTCACATCTGACTTTACACAACATCCAGACCACCTCAAAAAAAGTTTGGCTTCGTGAGTCTGATAGAAAAATAAGATTTACAACTGAGGAAAGTTTATTTATTTAACAGCAAAGACAATTCCCAAAACATTTACTGAAGGCACTGCTAATTAGGATATGTATTTGTTATCGATTGGATATTTTTAAATAATCTAAAGGGAAATGCTGTCTAATTTTTCAGATGTATGGCTAATTTCCAGCATCATTGAATCATTTAGGCTTTTTTGGGGTAACTTTTCTACAATTAAACTTCGTGCTTCTTCTGCCTGACACGTTTCGTCCTGCCTGTTTCCTGTGTGTGAAGTTTCAGTCCAACATGTTGATCCTCTCCTCTCCAGCCGTGTCTCGGAGCTCAGGCCGATGTAATGGATTATTTCCCGGGTTTGTGCCGCTCCTCGCCCGGCCGTCTCATCCGTCTCTGTGCTGTCAATACTTTGTGGAAATATTTCCGTCATTAAATGGTATTTCGAGAAATGTCTCCCCACGTCACTCACCCTCCTCCCTCCTTCATCCTCACCTCTGCACGACTAGCTTTGAACTCCTTAACCCGTCCAATTATTTATTATAATATCAGCGATTTAACCCAATTTACCTCCCTGCAGACACTTATTATAAATACATCTCTCCATATCTATTTACAAGGATAACAAGTAATCATAATTATGATAATAATAAGAAAGGCAATAATTGTTGTGTTAATGGTAATGACAATAATACTTATAGTAATAATAATACATAATCATTTATATTATTTTAACCTGCATTCATATTACAAGCATGATCCACCATGTTTTCGTTTTAAAGTCATGGAAATACATATTCTAAAAATGATAATTATAATAATAGTAATTATTATTACTATTAGTAATATTATGTTTGCTGTTAATGTTATTATCCAACGAATAATCTGCACACAGTTTATTTCACAGATTATCCTGGTTTTTACTTGAAATTCCACCTTTCCCACTTAATTTACAATTCTGAAACTAAACTATGACAATATTCGTTTTATAATTACATTTGCTAAAATAAATGTATTTGATTTATTCTTTCAAATTAAAGAAATACCTTTTATTTTTGCTGCTGTTCTTCCCGTAATTCCCTTGTCATCCACTCGCCGCCCCTTCCTGAAAAAGCAAATGTAAATATGGCTTTTTCGTTTCGTATCTGTGAAACGAAAAGAGATGTTAGAAACATTATGTTTGAATATTTTCTTATTTTTGCAGAGTTTTCTTAGGTCCAATTTATTCCTTAAAACTTTTCGAGTTATCTTCGTGGTTCTTTGGTGAGGAATTAAGATTGTTGACGTACCCTGCCTTCCTAATACATGTCTCCTTTCTTTGTTTTCCCTCTTATATTACCGTCGTCTTTTTTGGAAATAGACTATTGGTTTTCTTTTATTCATCAAGGCTCTCTCCTCATCTCATCCGGAAAAAAGAAACTCCTGACTGTTGCGAGAGGCGGGTTTTGATTTTTTTTAAATGCTCTCATCCTTAATGTGTTGTCATCTGGAAAGCAATTTCGTATGATCAAAGTGCGGCTAGTTAGTGCGGTCAATATCTTTTCCAGCAAGCTTCTCATATCGATAACCAGACAGCAGAGCCTCTCGCTGAGCTGCACGCAGGGCCTCTGAATCTGCACCCGGAGACAAAACAAAGCTATAACCTCATATATCCTACACTTCAGAAGACTTCCTTATTAATGCAGCATAATTATAAATTCACTGTGAGAAATGCCTGAATATTGCAGAGAAATCAAATGCAGGAACCATCAGATGCGATGAAGCCAAATAAGTGCGCAAAAACACGCACAATTTAAGTTATTATAGCGGTGATTTAGTGATTTGTTTCTCTTTCATCGTGCTGGCATCTCTTCCTTCCTACTGTATGACACTAAAGAGTAAATAAGGCGATTGATCGGTGGTCGATGTGGCAGCAGTGGTCCTGCGGGAAAACAAAACACCGGACACGGACGTGGTCCCGGAGTTTGTTTACGTATTTACATTTCTGATTGTGATGCTTCTTTTGTGTCTAAATTGATGATTAAAAGTCCTCTATTTTTTTGTTTTAGTGACTCCTTCGTGCAGTGCGACAACAGCACTTTCCCGCGTCTTCCCTCCCTCGCTTCCGGGTCGGAACAACCAGCGCAGCGGCAACAGACTTCACTTCAGTCCGAGAAAAGTGATCGGGCTTCGGCCTCAGGAGCATCTCTGAGGCGGGGCGACGCGGAAGTCCAGGTGGGTGAACTTCCTCATCAACCTGCCAATATCTCATCTGCCATTGCTTTCCCTGCGGATTTTCTTCTACACTTTCCTTTATTTGTCTTTTTAAATAATTTAATTAATTGTTGCACACATTTTCACATTACTAGCCTATATAAGGCAAAGTTAAGTCACTTAAGGTCAACATATTTGTGTGAGGGAGTTGTGTGTTGGAGATTTTAGATTGAAGACAGGAGCTGATTGAGATATACATTTGGACACCTTTAGATTTCAAATCTAAAAAATATCTTTTAATGACATATTGCTGCACAAAATGAAATCTTCGACACTCTTCCTGGCAGATTATGAATAAAGACTTTGATTGATTGTGATATCATGGCCAATTGTTAACATTGCCAGGCGTTCTTCTTCGGTTTTTATTTTTAAACACATCTTTGTTTTTTCTGCGAGGCAGCAGGGACCTGTTTGTGAATAATCAAAGGTGTGAAATGCAGTAGCCCTTGGCCATTAACCAATCACATGCAAGATTTGAAGGACTCCTCTGTATCTTCACCATCTCTAAGCCTCTGTCCTGCTCCCCCCCCTCTCATACCCCTGTCGTCTCTCGCTGCCACACCTGGTAACTACAAACTTGTACACAATAATAACAGCCAGATGTATCCATCTATCTCTCCATCTAGCCTGTTGGCAGTTAGTGGAGTGGCTGAGGGACTTGCAGGCGTGAAAGGTCAGTTAATCAATGGCGCACAATTTGACAAATCCCAGCGACTCTTATCATCCTCACGGGCGTTTAGGGCCGAAAGGAGGACCACCGAGATAAATGCTTAATCCTGACTGCACTGTGAGAGAGAGAGGACAGATACAGGAGCGCTGTGAAGCAGATGGGCATGCAGACATGTCGGGAGGCTTTGAGGGAGATGGCGAGTGGAGAGAAAAATGCAAGAAAGAATCAGACGTGGCTCAAAGCAAAACTGGAAGGTGAACAAATGTGCTCGCATTTGGAAATGACAGATTCTCCTTTCCTCTGTCACACAACAAAAAAGACTTTGTGGCCTTTATATCATCAAATTCGCCTCAGGCTCGGCTCGACAAGCCATGCACATGCCTTCTGGGTTGACATCGGAATCCTGGTTTGGTGCTGCTCTGTGTAAAGTTGAGAAAAACCTGAGGAAAACAAAGGTGTGTGAGTGGTTGAATTCTCCTGTGGCATGTTAGCCTGCCTGCAGCAGTGTGCAACCAAGAGGAAAATGAGCTTTTGTCCACAAGGCTGGCCTCTTTTTTCTCTCAGTTTTTTTAACTGCAGGGGTTTGGAAGGTGGCACCATTTATTTGCCCTTATACTTTAACCAAGGATCAGCCCATTGACATGACGGAAGATATTTTGTATTGAACTGAATGGCTTTTTGGCGGTTTTATTGGCATTAGGTATAATAATCAAAATTGATTGTCAACAAAGCGGATTTCTTGAATGTTGGATTTCTCTACGTCCGTGTCTTTTTTTTCTTCAAATAGGTGTGAGAGAGCTGCTTGAGCAGTCACACAGACAGAAGCTCATGTCCTTTATCTCCATCTCAATAAAGTTCAGTGTAATTCGATTGAGATTAGTTGCACTGGCATGACAGCAGATCCCTAGTATTGCCAAAGCACTTAGGAGGCAATGACAGCACCACATCGACGTGCGCTAACACATACACAACCCCACGAGACTGGCCAACCTTGTAGAGAAGCAGAGAGAGGGAGAAAGTGAAGGATGGAGGGACAGAGTGACGGTCAAGTCAAAGAGGTTTTGGCAACATCTCAGGATGATGAAGTTAAAGGATGATAGAAAGTTGTCCAAAAAGTGCGGGAAAAGAAGAGGGGGGGGGAAATGACGAAGGGACCCGGATCAGAGCTGAAGCATGACAAAAAAAATATGAGAGAATGATTGAGTCGCAGGGAAAGTGATGGAGGGAAATGAAATGGAGGAAGCAGAGAGAAAGGGCTGAGGACAGGAAAAGGGTAAGATGAGGATAAAGGGAACAAGAGAGGATACAATGTTTAAGAGTGATGTACGAGAAGAGGGGAGAGGAAGGGATTTACTAGAAGAGAGATTAAGTCAAGTTGTCCCCGGTCAGTCATTAATCCGATTTAAGAGCAATTAAGGTGAGACTGATTCCTTCCTAGAGAGAAAGAAATAGATGGAGAGGCTGAAGAGAGGGGGGAGAAAGAGAGGAGACAGCGAGGGAGAGAAGAAAGGAGTGATTGAAAGAGAAAAGGGGGGAAATAACACAGGTGTCCGAACTCTGAATGCTGGTTAGTGGACGCATTAGAAGCGATACAGAAAACATGGCGACATATTTGAAACTGTGAGATGACGTTATTTTGCACTGTTGTAATATTTTACTACATGAGCATTTTAAAATAGATCCTGTAAAGCTGCTGAAGGTCAAAGCGAGTTTAGGGCTAAAAGTACAAGATTTATACAAAAAATCAGGTTTTGATGGTTTCTCTTGCACACTGGTATCTTTTTCAATATAAGACTTTTCCCGGGAGATCAGGATCACACAGAAGTGACTCCTGACACTGTTGACAGCAGCGTAATGTGAAAGCAACCATGCAGGACCTCCAGTCTGCATGTTGGAGCTCCGATACCTGTGAGGTTTATTCCTTTGGGAGCGGAGAGTTGTGAACAAAGTTGAGTTTAAGGTGAAAGCACAGAGGCTGCTTCCAGGGCCGAGAGGATGTAGAGTGAGGGACAAAGTAAAGAGATTTCTCCTTTGAATAAAAAAAAAAGAACAGAAACAATGAAGGTAGTAGCTCCCCTCCTCCTCCTCTTCCTCCTCTTCCTCCTCCAACAAACCCCTCCCCGCTCGGTGTGCCTCGTTGTTCCAGATGTGTATCGGAGGTCTCGAAGGTTGACACAGGGGTCCCTCCACTGCTGTAGCATTTCTATGTCTATTGGGAGATGGTGGTCCCGATAGCTCGGCCGTCTGACATGTACACAACAGTACATAAATCAAACGCACACATACGCGCACAGACTCCATTAATCTCCCACTCAAGCAGTGCGGTGATAGCAGCCAACTCTGCATAGAGTCAGAGAGAGGGAGAGGTTGTGGTCCGTCTTGTTAAGTGGGAAAGTAATGGGTAGCTGTGAGAGGTTTACTTCTGTTGCTGCCATCTCTATTGTTCAGGCCTTCCCCAGTGTTTGTGCCTCTTTTGTTTGATGTGCTTCAACAGTAGATAGCACACTCCACTGCGTCCGTAATTGCTGTTCCACCAAACGGCAGGACAGGAGTGTGTTATTATGACGCCTGTTAGGGCAAAGAATGGAGCAAATTGAAAGCTGAGGTCATGGATTTTGTTGTGCGACATTTTGGGCTTCTGATTGGAAATGATTTGACAAGACTTCATTCACTGCTGAACACATCTACTCTTCAAAAGGCATCTTACCATTATAGGGAAAAATTATCTCCTTATTTTTAAATCATTTTCCAGCTTTTCTCCAATTAAGATTCTGTCTTGTTTTTTCGGTGGCGCATCCATTGCAGTTTCTGTGCACCAATCTGCAGCCCATCAGAAGTCGCAGATTGAGAGGCCATTTGGCTGCTGTTGACAGGAGGGAGAAGCTATCGACAGGGCCCTGCCGGGGAGGCGTGTCTCGGGCCCCACGTCCAAAGCGTTTGTGGCGTTTAATACACTGTAGCATTGGTCTTCACAGCCCTCACCCTGCATGCTACTGCCATAAGGATCAATATGCACTGGGTTAGAGAGAAATGGACCATCTGATGCACACTCAGAGAGGGGGATGAGGGAGTGAGAGAGACAGAAACAGCAGGGAGGGCTGGGACAGTGAGGGTTTTTAAAAAAGCAAAAAGAGAGGAACAGGCTGGAGAAAGGGCATGAGGAAAAGGAGGAGAAAAAGAAGAGAGGAAATGATTAGAGGCACGTTTTAAAAGACATGGAGGCAGAGCGCTCAGCACGGAGATAGATAGCTCGGGAGACAAAGTGGTCCGTGGTTGAAAGAGACATTCAGCGGATAGAGAAAACAGATTGGAGTGAACGGCGATAGACAGTGAAAAAGAGGAAGACTCTAGACACAAGGGGGGATACACACAGGAAAGGAAAAAAGACATAAGGGAAGAGAAGAGTGGGAGATAGGAAGGGAGAGGGGGCGGTAGACGAAGGGAGGGGGGAGAAAAACAGAGAGAGAGAGAGTGGTGCGGGGGAAGAATGAGGAGGAAGGGAGGGGAGGGGGGTAAAATTTCCATCAGGTTTTCAATTGGGGCGGATCAATAGTGTATTAGAGCTCACCTTGACCCCGTCTCTCCCCCTTCTCCCCGGCCCAGCACACAGGCCAAGCTTCTCTCCCTCACAGCAGGGGACAGAGAGGGGGAGAGATTGCATTACGGCCTCCCTTTCTTGGACCAAAGTGGCATAAAATGGCACAATAAAAGCAAGAGCGGACAGAAAGAAAGAGGAAAACTAAGTCGCGCCAGGCAGAGACACAGAGAAAGTGGGAGACAGGGAGAAAGGGAGAGAGGGGTGAGCCGGAGGAGACGCCAGCGGGTGATGTCGTGCCTGTTTGGACAGATCTCTCTGAGAGAGGAAAGCGGTCGGGGGGCCGGGGAGCGTGTGCTCGAAGACATGACTTGTTTGTATCACCACTCAAAATAGACAGGTTGCAAACAAAATGTATCACACACACACGTACACACACACACACACGCATATGGGGGCAGATATACACTTGCATCTTCAAATTGTGTATATAATTGTGCACACTCTTAATACACTCACAGACACTGCATAACTTTGATAGATAGTGCTCTTTGTTGCAACATGTTCATATTGGTTGTATTTATGGTTGCTGGGTCTTCATGTCTCCATGTAGTATCCACACACTCATGAATAATCACCTTAACACGAGAAGATAACAGTTAAAGGTGTATTGAGATATTTCTGATCACTAGTTTGATTCATGCTATTTATGCATACCTTAAAATGAGAGCAATGTTCCAAGTCTATTTTTCTTCT